AATCATCTGCTAACTCCTTCGCTCCATCAACCTGTCCCAAGAGATGTCCATTTTGTTGACTATGTGAATTATTCCCTTTGTTTGTCCTTTTTCATCTGAAATGCTGTACCAGAGTCTTTGTTCTCCACTTTGCTGAGTAAGTTGTTTTGACTTTAGTGTTTTGCTGTGTCATAAGCAAATACAATATTGGCATTATTTGTGTTATTTGGCAATAATACAAAGATACCCAAAAGCCTGGGTCTGTTCAAAACAAACTTGGAAAGAATATTCCTCTTTATTTGGCATAATAGCATCAGCTAATGTTGCTTATGGCCTCCACAAGCAGCTATAGAGTAAGAATAGTGCAATACACAAAAAGATAATGTGTTAAAGCATCAAGAATCATTGTCTTGAATACTTGGTTTCACCAAGATGAACTTTCATTTCTTTGGATGGTTAAACAGCTCAGCTGATGCTGAACTGTTCCTAAATTTGCCTTGCTAAGGTGAACCTGAGTCCAGCAAATGGACAGCCACATCACACTGAAATGCTGAACTCAGCAAAGTAATTGAACCCTGAAAGGTTGAGAGTTTGGCTTCCTTCTTTTCCACACCAGGAAGGCAGCCAGAGGTGAGTTAGGACTGAGGATAAGGTGTTTTATTCTGCCATGGAAAACTCTGTTATTGGCTCAGCAAGTTTCAGGGCACTTTTTGCTAGCGCTTAGCTACAGTTAAAAGGTTGTGCAAGTCAAAGATTTAATGTCAAAACATGAGTATAATGGGCCAGAGGCCCCAGGTGCCTTTATATCATCTAAGTTGTTGGTGTTGAAACAGCCCAGAGAGGACACATGCAGGGTTTCCCCTAAGTCTTGTTTCTGTTCCAAGAGAAGTCAGACACAAGAGTTTTATTAGCCATGAAAGAGAAGCAAAGCTTCTGCAAAGAGCATGTCATGAGGCTTCCCAGGCAGTGAAAGCTACATGGTATTTTACAAAAGGGTACACTTTAATGATTGTTAATTGCAGTGTGCTCTTTTAATACATGGGGAGCCTTCAATAGCCGAGTATCTACTGAGCATCCTGTTGGTGAGGGAGAGGGAGAAGGACGTAAAGGCTTTTAGGAAGGCATTTGCTCTTTGTGAGCCACATCCTCCATCTAGCTGAGCAAAGAAGGGGAGGAAAAGCCAGAGAAAATGTCAACAGTGGGTTCCATTGACCTGGAGACTGAGAACATCAGGGATCTCAAACTATTTTTACAGCTTCACTTTGCTTTCAGAAACATTAACACTTCAAAGTATATGATTGTGCCTCTCACCCATTGTTCCAGGGTTTTTCCCTGATTATGGTCTTCTTTTCTTTTTTTATCCCCACAAGAAAGAACTTTGCATCAATTTAGCACAGGACAAGGTTGATTTGTACCTCTCCTAAATCCTTTAAACATCTGAGTGCATCAACAGTATCACACTTCCCACTGAGACATAGAGACCCAAAACATCCACTGCTGTTACTACTTGACTTTTTAACATGAGTATGGCAGTTAGAGCAAGCAGAAGAACGAATGTTCCATCAGTTTGCCACTGCTATTTGGAAGACAGTAATAATAATGACTTGATCAGAAGATTTCCTAACATCATACCTGCTACTGGAGTGTGTTTCCAAAGTACATCCAACTCTTTGTTCTTGTTTCAGGAAGGCTTTTGTGGATATTACTTACCTGCAGCAGAAATCGCATGATGTCTGTTTGCTTTATGGGTGGCAATACCTAAAGGCTTTTGTTTTGTGAACATCTTCTGAACTCTTTTTAAGCCACTTACTTAGTAATTAAAATGCTTTTCAAATATATCTCCATGTTTCTCAGATGTTCATGCTTTTGTATGCATGGTGTGCATAGATCTCATGGGTCATCATTGGAGACCTTCTTACAGCTTTCCAATACTTAGAGGGGGCTTGTAAGGAAGATGGAGAGAGGCTTTCTACCTGTGACTGTAGTGAAAGGAGATGGGATAATAGTTTCAAATGAAAAGAGGGTAGATTGAGATTTGATACAAGAAGTTCTTCCCTGTGAGGGTGCTGAGGCACTGGCACAGGGTGCCCAGAGAAGCTGTGGCTGCCCCATCCCTGGCAGTGTTCCAGGCCAGCTTGGCCACAGGGGCTTGGAGCAACCTGCTCTAGTGGAAGGTGTCCCTGCCCGTGGCAGGGGGTTTGAACTGGGAGAGCTTTAAGGTCCCTTCAGCCCAAACCATTCTAGGATTCTTTGCTTCTACAATCTATGTGATCATGGATCAATGAACACAAGAAGCTTTTTGCTTTAGGCAAAATCTGTCAACTAAAGACAAAAGTTAACATATTAATGCAAGCATTTCATCTCTGTATGATAACACAGTATCTATGTTACAGATTATTCTGTCATCGTTTCTATATTGGGACATTGTAAAACAATTTTCACGTGTTCAGGAATGAATGGTGACATGGAATGGTTGATTCGGTGGCTCAAGGGGGTGGATAATGTGCAAAAAGGCCTGAAGAGTTCCAGGCTACCAGTTCCATCATTACACTGAAGCAAGATGTTCCCTTCATAAGACAGTTCCTCTCAGGTGTTTTGAAATGGGTTTTACATGCCTGGAAGAAATGCTCATAGCTTTCCACCCCACCCCAAACAATGCTGAGTTTTTCACCTTCATTTTCTTGCAGTGAATAATGATCCACAAGCAACAAAGTCCTAAGGAGGGGAGGGGAAACAGTGTCCGTCCAGGGAAACAATGGCTTTTCAATGTGTCCCTAAAAGTCTGTGTGGCACTGAGACTGTGATATCCAAAGGATAGAGCAAACAACCCACTGGCTCAATTCTTGCCTGAACCAGTGATGCCCAATATAAGGTCATGCAAGTCATTGAATATGAAGTTGGAGTTGGTCAGTGGAGTTGGGATTAAACACTCTCAGGGTTTGAAGAGGCATCCAGGCTGCTTGCTGTATGGGATTGCCTGAGATTGGAGGAGTGAACATTACAGGTTTCATTCCACATGGAACTACAAACATCCAGTGGCACCTGGGTAACGCTCTGGTCCTTGGAGAGACCCAGCCTGGGTGGCATTCTTAGGCAGCATCGAGCACTGTGCTTAGCACAAAACCTACTGATGGAGCAGTCCAAGTTAGGGCTTGTGAACCTGTGAGCATGGAGTAACTTAAGTGAATTAACACACAAATACACTTTCGTGCCCAAACAAGTGAACTAAGTCCTTTAATCTGCTGTAGTTCTCTGTTTCCTTGCAGTGAAGTAGAGATAACAGATTCCTACCTGATGAGGTCAATAGTTCTGAAGTGCCCAGGCACTCAGATGATGAGAGCCATATAAACACAAAGATACTACGCAAGCACAGCCATGCCACATGCTTGATGCAAATTCCTTGCTTCCAGTCTAGTTTCCTCTCTTCCCTTGCACAGTTTCTCTGCCAAGGAAATATACTTCCAGATGCCTAAAGTATCCTGTTGTGTTGCTGGCATCCTTCCTGGAATGGGTACCTGGATAAAAACTTTCAGGTTTTGAGCAGGTCCTCAGGAAACCTTCCTCACTGTGATTCCTTGTTGTTGGGAGTTTTAGGAGAGTATTTTCTTTCCTAACAGTTAAGACTTTATTAACAAACCCGGTCCCTGCTTGCATGGTAAAAGGAGTATTTTTCTCTCACTCTGTTTTGTGATGTAGTAATGAAAAGACAAGTTTATTCATGTTAGTAAATGGTAGATGACTTAATTGAGATTAAAGTGGAAAACAAAATCACTGATTTTGCTAAAATTGCCTAAACATGCTTTGTTTAGTAGTGCTGGAGAACTACTCAGATTACTTTTCAATACTCTTGAAAAGATTGTTCCTGGTGCACAGGCTTAAACAAACTAACCTCTTGTCCCTAACAGTGCTCGCCAAGCTCAGATGCATCTTTGGGAAGGAAATGAGGACTATGAGCTGTGGAAATACTCTATTTCTTCACTGGTTTTGTTTATGATAAGTGGCTCTGATGCTTGTGCTGTTGTACGGTTACTTGGAGGAATTACAGTGTAAAATACCAAGGCATTCCTTAAAAAAGACATGTCATTCCAAATGTAGCAAATACGGGATCATTTGGCTGCGCAGAGCCTGGAGCTAAACTGGATCCTGATTGAGTATGAAATGTTTATGCTGGGGACTGATGTGGGAAGCAACATTCTTTTGCTTTATGTTTTCAAGGGGCAGCTACGAGTGGTAAAAGCATATGATTTTCCATACCTCTCATCCATGTGTTTGCTTTTTAAGTATTCTGTCTTGTTCCTTAACTTCACTTGCCTTTATGAAATGCCTGGAAATCTACTCAGGTGTGCACTGGGTGACTTTGACAGAGAGCTGTGCCCTGGTATCACACAAAGCTAAATGGTGCTGCTTGGTTTCAAACCTTAAGGAGGTTCTTTGGTCTGAATAAGAGGAGCTGAGTTATACTAAGGAGTGCTCAGTCGTAGTTGCATTTCTGGTGCTGGGTCTTCAATTGCCTTAGTTTTTATTTGGACTTCTACAGGAAAAGCTGTTAGATATCTATAAGTGCTTCTGGGTATAATAGGTGGGTTTAAACACATAAAAAGGAGTAAAAAAGAAGGTATATAATACATTATGAATACAGTAGCATAAAACAGGACCGTTTCCTGGGATTTATTGGTATGTTGATAAATACTCCTTGTATTTCTGTGTCACCACATTCTCACCCCAGCCCTTTTCTGAAGCACTGTGCCCGGTTATTCCCTCACACAGGCCACGAATCAGGAGTGGTTCTACTGGAAGAAGCAGATTGGATTGGTACAGGTGATCTAGAGCAAGTTTAAGTGGGTGGAAAGACCTAGGGAGCTGGTACGGTAGAAGCAGCAGGGGCTGTCTGATGACATTAATGCCATTCTTGTCCTAAAGCAATCGCCACTCATAAGGCAATGGAGCCTTTAGAAAGTGCCCCTGTAGTTCTGAACCTCTCCCCAACAGAAAAAGATGACTTTTCTCATTGCTCACCACAGCCATGCACCTGTTTGGCCTAAACTGGCACCTGCAGCCGATGGAAGGGCAGATGTATGAGATCACGGAAGACACAGCCAGCAGTTGGCCAGTGCCAACGGACGTCTCCTTATATCCTTCGGGGGGCACAGGGTTAGAGTTACCTGACAGGAAAGGCAAAGGAACCAGTGAAGGTATGGTTGGTGTGTGTCCATGTTGTGAGTCTTCTGTCTGCCTCTGAACTCCAGCCATCCAATCTCATGTTCCATTACCCTCAATGCTGCCATCACCAGGTGCTTTTTCCAGTCTTTCACGTCTAGAACTAGTAGTCGTCGGTCTTCTTTCCTTATGTTTTCTAAGTTTCATACTCTTCTGATGTTCACTAATGCCATAAAACTACATGCAACCTTCACCACAAACCCAAGGCACTCTCAAGGTGGAACCATCTGTACCATATCTCACAGGCTTCAGAAGCCATCATAAAACTGCTGCTTCGAGTGGCTGTTTTCATGGGAAAAATAATGGGTCTGGAATAATAAATGATTCCTGGAGCACTGGGTCAAGTCTTTCTACAATAGTAAAACATGTTTGAATTCGCCTATTCATTGCCACTTAGTACCATATGTTTTGCAGACCAAAATATTTACTTTGCAGTGTGATTTTTGGCACCCCAGAGTTGGACATCTCTTTGCAAAAAAAGGCCTGGTCTCCACAAAGCATCACGATGTTGACAGCTTGAGATTGTAACTGAAATCAGAGTAACTGATGGGTCATCAGTTCAGCAGCTTTATACCTTGCTGTGTTTTGTATAGAGGCAGCAGTGTCAACAGTACCTGTAAGCTGAAAGGGGAGGTGTTTTACCCCTCCTAAGACTGAACTGGAGAAATGAGACATTCAGATTTTCAGAAAGCTCTTTTGTCTGTCAAGCTCCTCTCTACAAGGTTAACAGAGTCCGGTCAAATTGAAGTCATGGGCTATTTTTGGTAGTTATTTTGGGGAGGAAGTTTTGTGGGTAAGAGATAAGAAGAATGCTACTGTTCTGGCAATTCATTGCACTCCAAAGTTTACACACAGTTCCCTAGACTCTGGCTGAAAGCCTGTATTTAGATGTTTCATTTAAATTAATTGTAGTACTTTTTTGTTCTTATCTGTCTTTATGAGTCCAAATAAAGGCTATAATTATGTGTGTTCCTTAAAACAGTGTATTTACTAGCAACTGATGGCTGACATGAAGTTGCTACAAGGACAAATCAGCTAAGTGAGTTATTCTCAGCAAACCTGACCAGACAGTGCAGCAAGCTGCAGATACCCCTGCTGTTGTAGTCAAAAATACTTCATAGCAGATCCTTTTTCCTATCCCTAACTTGCCATATGGTTCATTTTCCCAACATCTAGTTTGGGTCTGTCCATTGCGTTTTAAAAGTCAAAACGAAAAGAAATGGATGTATCCAAAACTGCCATTCAAGTGAAAGATCTCCACTTGATTTCTTTTCCAGCCATGCTTACAGAGACAGCAGTAAAATTGTTGATTGCTTCCAAAAAAGCTCTGTTAAAAGAGTATTCTGGGAAATACCCTACTTATGTCATTAGGAGATACCTCAAGTTAGTGCTTCGTATAGATCTTGGGGAATCTTGGCTGAAAGAGAGTAGATTTAGATTAGATCTTAGGAAGAACTCCTCCCTGTCAGGGTGCTGAGGCGCTGGCACAGGGTGCCCAGAGAAGCTGTGGCTGCCCCATCCCTGGCAGTGTTCAAGGCCAGGTTGGACACAGGGGCTTGGAGCAACCTGCTCTAGTGGAAGGTGTCCCTGCCCGGGGCAGGGGTTGGACCTGGAGGAGCTTTAAGGTCCTTCCCAACCCAAACCAGTCTGTGATTCTGTGAATCTGTAAGTTTTAGAGGAGGATATCTTGCCCTGACTCTGCTAGCACTGCTGCACGGCTGCTATTCCAAACCAGAATGCATGTGATGGATTGAAATTTATTGAATAATGGCTTGAAATACATTTGAAAGTCTTCTTGATCACAGTGAAAGAGGCTGGGATGGGTTCGAATATCCTCACAGCTGCTTGGAATGAATCATTACCAATGGCTTGCCAATTCCCAGTGAGAGTCATCCCTTCTCATCTGTGCCTGTGCTCTGAGTACTGTGTTTAAGCCCATCCCTGTTTAGCAAAGCACTTAAGCACATGCTTATATTTGAGCATGTGATTAACTGCAATTGAAGGTAGAGAAATGTGTGTTCTGAAGTGTTTTGATGAGTCAGGATACCTTGCTGTCAAAAATACCAGCAGATTCAGCAAGGCCTGAAATGAAGTAGTTCATTTTGATATCCAAATAAATTAGGAATAGTTGCTATGGCAACTAAAAAGTTCAAGGTAACGTGTGGAAAGAGCAAAGTAATTGACAGCCCAATTAAGAATTCAGACCTGAAGTTAATTCTAAGGAGTCAGATATTCTGATTAAAACCTCATTTCTGATTGGAAGCTGAATTGGCTTTCTTATTGTGCTTTATGAAGTATCCTGTCCATAGGGCCTGATCTTACTGTAGGCTAAAAGTGATGGAACACGGATGGATTTCAGGGCCTAATTCAGCCTTTCTATGGACTTCTGTGTCAGGATAAATGTCAATTGCTGGCAGCATGATGTGACAGCTCTTAGGATATGAGCTTCTCAGGCATGAACTGTCCACCAAGAGGAGACATGAACTTTTAGCTGTGTGAACGAAGAAGTATTTCTGTGGAATTGTCTTGTGCAATCAAAGAAGCATTTCTGCTCACATGAGCAAGTGCTGCTGTCTGTACAGGCAGGACACATACTGCACGGATTTCCTCCAGGCCACCTCTTGCACAGCAACATCCATCATAGCCAGGTTGGACACAGGGGCTTGGAGCAACCTGCTCTAGTGGACGGTGTCCCTGCCCATGGCAGGGGTTGGGACTGGGTGAGCTTGAAGGTCCTTTCCAACCCAAACCAGTCTGGGATTCTATGATCTATCTTATTAAATCCTCAGCTTCCCTGATTCACTCCAATGTACAATCTTTATTAACGAACAGTCAGGGCACGTATCAAATATTGTAGGTTTTTATCTGAATTTCTAAGAAGCTATAAAACATGTCAGTAGTAATCAGGAAAATAAATCCTTCATTTGAACCAAATTATGTGATGGCTTTAGCCCCTTTTTAATAGAATCCTGAATCTATTCGTCTTACAATAATAGAATAAGAAACTTTGCATGAAGACATGGCAACTGTTTCCTTTAATCCTGACAGTGTGGAAAGTAATTTTCAGTGTGCCAAATAAATACTAACAGTCCAGCTGATAGAGTAATCCCCTTCAGAAGCAAGCTACTTGGTTTGCATCCTACAA